AAGGGGCAAGGACTGGTCCTCGATGATGCCTGGGCTATGGGGTGTGCTCAGAGAGGGAAAAGATGGGGAAGACATCCTATCTGTTGTCTTTCCTGGTGCTTGGAGTCCAGTGACTACTTATACATGGGTTGTGTGTTCTGTGTATCTCAAGAGGGGTTTTCCTTTCTGTTTGTTTGATTTTTCAAGACAGGTTTCTATGTAGCCCAGGCTGTCTTGGGATTCTTAATTTTCCAGCCTTGCCTACCATATGCAGAGATTGTAGGTATGTGTTATCACACCCGGTTGAGGAAGTCTTGACCTCCTCCTTTCCAGTAGATAGTAGAGTCCTAACCCCCTCCCCCCAAGACAGGGTGTCTCTGTATAACACAGCCCCGGAGGTCTTGGAACTCACTGTAGAGCAGGCTGGCCTACTCTCAAACTCATAGAGATCTGCCTACCTATGCTTCCCGGGTGCTGGGACTAAAGGTGTGCATCACCACTACCCAGCTATACGATCTAGTCTTAAAAGCAGAAGCTGACCAGGAGGAACCCTCCTAACATTTAGAGTGTCTTCGAGGCAAAGGGTGGGATTAGCTGGAGGGGCAGGGTTGGATGAGGTCCAGATGAAAGTGGAGTACAAAGTTAGGTGTGACATCTTATTCCTACAATCCTAACACTTGGGAGGGTGAGGCAGGATTGCTGTGAATTCAAGGCCAGCTTGGGCCACCCAGTAAGCGCTAGGTCAGTGTGAACTATGGAGTAAGAACTCCACAAATCAATCAATGACCAACAAAAAAGTAAATGGTAGAGGGTGGAGGCCAAGAGGATCCCGGCCCAGGTCACCATCTCCATCAGTGACGGGGAAGGGAGGAACCATTGGCCACCCTTGTAGTAAGGTGAGCCTCAGGCCACAGCAAAAAGTAGCAATGTTTCAGTGCCTCCAAGGCCTCCAGCTCATGGTCGTGATTGTCATTTCTTTAGTCAGCTGGAGTAACCTGATGTCCATGCCCAGGAGCATCATTCTGACCTCTCCCCTGTCCCTCAGGCTTTAGATAGCTGGTGGTCAAAGGCCACAAGTTCTTCTCCTCCAGAAACCACCAATTCTGCCCCTATCATCATCCTCAGTCCTGAGTCCTGGGAGTCTCAGCTTCCAAAGGGGTTTCCCAACCTTCATCCTCAGCCTCCTGCTCTTTTCTCCAAAGACAATTTCCTCATTCTCAGCCATAGCTTACAAGTCTTTCAACGTTGGCCGTTTGCCTCCAGGACCAAATGCCACATTTCTTAGGATTTACATCCCACCTCCTCTCTCCAGTATATTCCTTCTCACTTATCTTAGGCAACCATTCTCCCACCTGAGGGATTGTTTCCAAGCCCGGTGCTTTCACAGACATCTCTGAGGTGCTGTCACCCTGCCCCTCATCACTGTTATTTGAGAGTAAACTCAGGCATGCCCTCTTCTAAGAAGATACCCCTGATCTGGCCTAGTTGGTGTTTCTTGTGTTACCCCAGGTGCCCAATGCTCCCTTCCCCTGCTTTCAAATATCAGCTAGTCTTTCTATATGTAGGGGTTGTGCTTGGCTTCTCTGGGCCCAAGGCCCAGCAGTAGGGAATCTACAAACACTCACCATGTCAAGTAGCTGTTGCTAGGTTATAGTTTTAGTCTAGAAGACCCTTTACCCCTTGTCTCATTTCTAAGGTCTGCTTAAACAAACCAAATTAATTGATATCTGCTTCATGGAGCTTTTCCCTCTCCTGAGTTTGGAGTGGCTCAGTCCCTTTACTCTGGGCTTTTGACACCTATCACTTTGTCTTATGTGTACTTTGGACCCTTTATGGTCTTAAAAAGTAGATGCACCCAATAAATACTCAAGGATATGGCCATTGGGATTATGCACACCAGGCCACAGTGGAAGATGGCTGGGATGTGGGGCAGACTCCTTTTCCCTTTTAAGTCACGTAAAGCAATTGCTCTACTTGCTTGAAGGGTTAGTTCTCTCTGCAGATGGATGGGAATTGCATTTTGAGGGTTATTTCCATGCCTGGCTTGATTGTTTATTTATCCATTTGTTTGGTTTTTCAAGACAGGGTTTCTCTGGGTGTAGGTCTGGCTGTCCTGAAACTTGCTCTGTAGACCAGGCTGACATCAAATTCAGAGATCCACCTGGGGGATGAAAGATGTGTGCCACCACCACCTGGCTTTGCTGGCCACAATTTTAATGTTTCACTTTCTTCAAAGACATTTTACTTTAGCTCAGTGCTTAGAACATACCAGAGCTGCTTGTGGATCTGAGCAAACCGCTTACTGAGGTAGTGGTTGCCTGTGCTGTGGATGAATGGAGAGATGGAAGGCTCTTGTTTTTAGCACAATCCTTCCAGCTCCCAGAGCCCCGAGGAGCTTCCATCATTGAGGATGGCTTTTGTGGCCCCCTTGCTTTGTTTTGGATGAGGGATGCTACTGAGGATTGACCCTAGAGCCTTGTGCATGCTAAGCAAGCACTGTGGCACTTAGCTGTTCCCCTAATGCTACTCTTACTTTGTCAAGGATTTATTTTTATTTTATGCTATGGATGTTTTGCCTGCATTTTATGTCTCTGTATCATGGGCAGTACCCATGGAGGCCATGGGTGCATGTATGTTTGTGCACCATGTGAGTGTCTTGTACCTGAATTGTTCAGGAGAGGGCATCAGATCCCCCTTGGAACTGTTGTTGATAGTGTAGGCTACTAAACAGGTGCAGGGAGTTTTCTTACGTCCTCTTCAGGAGCAACATGTGCGCTCAACTACTAAATCATCTCTCTAGTCCCTGAAATGTAATTTAAAAAAGTGTTTTCACACCATAATCCGTAAGAAGGGCTTTGGGTCTATGGAGTTATAACATGGAAACATTGCTCTCAATGTTGTTCATTTGCTTTAGTCAATGAATTTCAAAAGTGGAGAGTTATTGCTACATTCTATTGTCATCCTATTGACAAGTGGTGGGCAGACAAGGTGGATGTCAGAGCCTCCTATATTACTACTGCACAGCATTGCTAAATACTAGACTTTAATTCTGGTCAAGTCTCCTTCAAGCGTGTTTACTTGAAGTTTCTTGCTTCTGAAGATTATGGCCCAAATCTGTGTCCTTTTGATCTATGACACAAAAACCAAAGTTAATAATATCTCTTTTATTTCTCAGAAGTAATAAAAAATGACTATAACCAGGTGGCACACGCCTTTAATCCCAGTGCTAATTAGGCAGAGGCAGGCAGATCTCTGAGTTTGAGGGCAGCTTGGTCTCCAGAGTTCCAGGTCAGCCAGGGCCACACAGAGAAACAGAGAAACCCTATCTCAAGAAAAAAAAAAAAAAAAAAAAAAAAAGAGAGAGAGAGAGAGAGAGAGAGAGAGAGAGAGAGAGAGAGAGAGAGACACTGTAAAGTCAGACTTGTATTGACAGTTAAAATGACATTCCATCAAGTACAAAACAAGGTAATACTATTCTTTTGGGGAAAGGTCGTTGAGGTTGGGTTTCCATATGTAGTCCAGGCTGGTTATGAACTTCAAGATAATGCCGCCATCATGCCTGGTTCTCTCTATGTAGGTCATTAAAGCCAGCTTTCAAAATAGGAGACCCTGTATTGAGAAGTGGGGGGTGGGGGGTGGGGGGGTGGGGGAGGAGAACAACACCCTACTAGGTAAACAAAGAGTTAAATATTTCCAGTCTGCACACACGTACTCACTCAGCTTTGCTGGGCTTATCTGTTAGTCTAATAGTGAATGGAGTTGGAATCTGAAAGTTCTGGACTGCTTTGTAATTGTGTTTTACTTTATTCATTGAGGGTAGTAAAAGGAAAAAGCAGGTGGGATTATGAACTAGCAATTCAGCATCTCTCATTTTTTTTCTTTTCACCCCCCCCAACTGGCTTCTATTTGGCCTAATTAAACAGCTAAGGGTCCGTAGTAGCCAGGCTTCTATATGCTAACGACGCCTCTGTGTGATTTTGCCCACTCTGAGCCTCCCTGTTCTCCGTGGAATCCTGAGTTCGCAGAAGTCTCCAGTTTCTTCAGGGGTTCGGCCAGATTCTGAGAAGCAGCAGACTCGGGAAGCCTTGAGTCAAGTCACAATATTCACTTGAGAATTCTTTTCACCTCCTATATTAGTCCAGAAAGGTGACGCCCGAGTCCGCAGCGCCATTCCCCGAGGGAACTCCAGCAACACCCACCGCAGGCTCTAACAATTTCGCTTCCTTAGCAGCGTTTCCTAAAGTTGCCTCAAATCTTCCCTACCCTTTTGCCAAAAGAGCGTCAGGTCTCCCTTTGCTCTCCAGCTGGCCCATGTCAGATCATTATAAATCGCTGACAGCGGAGAACGGTGGTCTTAGGGGACCACGCAGAGTGACCACCCCTGATTTACGTAACCAAAAACCGTAGCAGCAGGAGAGGGCGAGCCTGACGCTGAGACATTCCAGGGGGAAGGGAGTTGCTGTCCTGGACTCGCCAGTTCCCAGAAACCGACAGGGGAAGGTGGCTGAGATAAAGAAAACACTTCGGGAACAAGAATATTCCACAGCCTCAGAACCTAGACCATTATCAACAAACGGTGGACATACGAGTAGTAATTTCTTGCAGGAAACTGCAGTCTTCCAACTTTTGCACTGAAACGCGGAGGTGTACCCGGAGCGGGGGTGGGGTGGGGAGGTAAAAAACGGTGATACATAAAGCTAATGAATGGGATTTAATGGTTTTGTTGGCCCTATATAAATATTCCTGTCCAGGAGCGCAAACTCTCTGCAGTTATTTAGTAAAGTAGGGACTCAAACTAAGCGAGAAGGCTCTCCCATGTGTGTCCACTAGCCCCAATCAGAAAGGGCGCTACTAACTCTGTACTGCCCCTTTAAGACCTGCTCGCTCTCGGGCTCTACAAAAGGGAGTGACCTCTGGGCTTTGACAGCTCCCCTAATAACTACCACCACGCAGGCCCCGCCTACCTGGCGACCAACCTCGCCGATTGGCCTGCAGGCCGGTATCCCGTGCTCTGATTGGCCTGCCGCTTCCCCTGAGCGAACCTTTAGAACTCTGAGACAGACAATATTCTGTTACATTGTAGCAAAATGGCGACTGTCATTCACAACCCCCTGAAAGCGTAAGTAAGACTAAAAAATGTACATATTCCGCGTGGTTTCAATATGAAAAAAAGGCGCCTTGCGGAGCGCAGCCGGCGCCCGGCTCTTGCAGACGCCTCCCGCTGCGCCCGGGCTCCTCTTTTCTTCTGCTCTTACTTCTTCATCTTTTTTTTTCCCTCCCAGCGCGCAGAAATGTCAGGAGATGCAATTAACAAAAAGAAAATTGTTACATCTGTGTTCTGCTTAATTGACTGACCCGGACCGGGAGGGAGCTCGGAGCGGCGGCGCCCGCTCCGGAGCTGCGGGGGTCGCGAGCAGCTCGGGGCTGGCCGGTCCCCGGAGTCCTCTGCCTCTCCCGGCACCGCGCGGGGCTGGATGAGCCCGGTCGGAGCGCGGGGCAGGGGCTGCGTAGTGCGCTCCGCTGAGCCCTGCGCTTCTAGCCGGAGGCTTTCCGGCTCCGCGGCTCGTCCGCCCGGGCGGGCTGACCGACTGCTGCGGCTGCGGAGTTTGCTAGGCGTTCGCACTGCCTTCCGAGCTCTCGCAGGGAGTTTGTGCAAACCTTCCGGAGTTGGGAGGACAGCGCGCGGAGCGGCGGGTCTCGGGAGTCCTGGGGCCCAGGTGCTTGCCCCGGGCTTTTTCACCCGGGGATCAGGGAGGCACTCCGGGCGGTCACCGGTGTGTCTGAGTATTTGTGGGCGAACTGGCTGTAGTAAATTAACGACCTGGATTAATTTGGGGGTTGATATGGAGGCAGGGAAGCTGCAGGTCTTATGAATGGTGTGCTTGCCTGCTCTGGGTGAAAAGCCGAGGCGGGCGGAGGCGGTTCGGGGCTCTGGCGACAACGAGGGGCAGGTGCCTCCGGGAGACTTTGAGCGGACAGAGGGGGGCGGGCTGCGCGAGGACTCGCGGGGGCCGGTCCCCGGTCGGAGCTGCCTTCCTTCCTTCCTTCCTTCCTTCCTTCCTTCCTTTCATTCTTCCTTCCTTCCCTCCCTCCCTTCCTTCCTTCCAGTCGGTGGACTGTGAATGTGAAGCTGCCGCCAAGTCCGCGAGCGATCGTGGATCCGCCGGTGGCCTCGGAAAACTAGTGTGGCTCTCAAGGGGCGCTATTGGCAGGGATGTTGGCAGAGGGTGGGTCCCTGGGAATCGCAGCGCGGCGTGGGCTCCGGTCGGTGCCGGGTGTACTAGGACTTCCCTGCCCGGGTGAAAGCCTCTGGGAGTAGGAGGGTGCGCGTGGGTGTTTCGTGCCAATTATTTCCAATGTGTGGTGGTGGTCAACCCTGGCTCTTTTAACTGCTCGTCACAGCGTCCTAATCCTTGGCTTCTGGAATCAAAAACACGGTTTGCTTTGGAGAGCATCAAGGCAGTGCGGGGGAGGGAGGGGGGATTCCTAGTGCCAAGAAACGCCTAGGGAGAGACCGCTGCGTTTGCACCAGCCAGCAAACAGGAATAGGGCAGGGATGTCCCAGATCTCGGAGTTTCCACGAGATATTGCTGTAAAGAAGACATTGGAGGCTGAGCTTTATGCGAGTTCCCGGCTCCAGTCCTCGCTCGGAAGCTCAGCTACTTCGCACCCTCGACAACATTTCACCTATGAGAGAAAATGTTTTATGGCAGAATAAATGGGCGTAACTTCGCCGCGTCCTCGCTGACTCGCGCCGCCACACCGCTGATGCCAGGAGTTTCTCCAGAACCCACACAGCTGATTTGCAATTTCCTCATTTCCAGCCGAAATCACGTAGCCGAGCTGATGCTGCTTGGTAAACTGAAGTCTGAGAGATCTATTTACTATGTGTATGGGGTTCCTTATTGGGAAAGCCGTCTCCTTGATGCCCGGGAGCGGGCTTACGCTCGGGCGCGCGCAGGAGCTCCACGCTCCAGGGTTCCCCAGATCGTTCCACTTTTTTTTTTTCTTTTTCTTTTATTTTTGACCCAGAAGCGTGCGTGTGTAGGGGTAGTGGGGGAAGGGACAGAGCCGCAAGAAGGTGGCCAATCTCGGTAGTGGAATTAGTTCTGAATTACACGTGTACTCCTTAATAATTGGAAACACTTCAGTGGGATGCATTTGTAACTCTGTCTTGGCACACATACGAGGGCTCACACACACAGCACCACTGCCTGTCTTTCCTGGGAAGGAGTCGAGCCGTCACTTTATAATTATCCGCCCCCTTTTGCATCCCATCTTCTTCCCTCATCCCTAGGGCTAAGGGTGTAAACAATAACCCCAACGGCCAAGCTTTTTGAAGCCTGGACATTTAAAAAAACTCCGCACTCAGGAGCACACGCATCATTACTGGGAGACCGACGTCATCTGCTTTTATTATTATTATTTTAAAAAACTTGTTTAATAAAACATCTATTTCATTTGTTTTTAGAAGTTGCTGGCCAGGAAACAAAACACACGTGAATAAATTATGCATGGGCTAAATTAGAACAAAGCGAGGCGACCCATCAAGCCGAAGGGATGGATGGGGGCGCAGGGAGGAGGAGCAATGATAATGGTTTGGAGAGCTTATGTGTTTATCCTTGTGTGCCCCTCCTGACAATGAACCAGAGCTCCAAACCGCATTAGCATTTTCTCCGAGTGCGTGCAGTCTCTCTCGTCTTAAAAAGGCAACACCACAGACGCCCCCTACAGAAACTGGTCACACAAAGATTCCCTCCTGGACTGCGGGAGAAGTAGCAGCAGTTAGGGTGTGGGGAAGAAGTCAGCTCAGGTTTCTTTCATACAATCTTCAACCTTGTGCAGGGCTCTGCCTTCGTAGACTATGGGTTACTTTTCATCTTGCTGGCTTTTTTTTTTTCTTCCATGTGGGGCATTCAATAATTCAATTCACTGGGTGACTGGATAGCTAACTTGAATCTCTTTGCTTTTTGCGTAGGGTGGGGGTGGAGGTGTCTTCTGTAGGGTCCCAAGCGCCTGAAAATAGCCTTTCTTGGTAGTTTGCCTTTCTTCCTGGCTGTCTTTGATCCCCCTCGACTCCCCTTTTCCTCCTTGCCGCTTTCTCCCCTTCCTCTCTGAAGCTGACAATTTGGCTTCTCCGTTGTAGCCTTTAACTTCTTGTTACTGCCCAACAGGGTGTTAGAGGCAGAAACAGGAGCTGCCTGGACAGATTAGATCAGAAAGGGAACTCGGCAGGTGGCCCTACAACGAATTGGTCACATCTGCACAAACAGAATTCAAAAGCACGGATGGACATAAATGGTGTGTAAATGTGAGTTGTGTGCTATTTAAATTAGCAGCTACATTGTCTGAGTGCAGATTGTTGGAGTCATCCTCAATTTCTGTATACACAGGTAAGGGCCACAGACAGATTTGATAAAGGCATGTGTGTGAGTTATCACTGTATACTTGTTGATTTATGTATACCGAGGAAATAAATGCTTAAATTTAAAAAAATACTTATTTTAGCTGGGCATGGTAGTAGATGCTTTCAATTCCAGCACTTGGAAGCCAGAGGCAGGCAGGTCTCTGTGAGTTTGTGTCCAGCCTAGCTACATAGTGAGTTTTAGGACAGCCAGAGCTACATAAAGAGATCCTATTAAATTTTCTTTTACTATTTTATGTGTGTGTTTTGATCCAGTGAGGTACTGGTACAAGTGTGTGTGTTGTCAGAGGACAACTTTGGAGTTGATTCTCTCCTACTATATGAATTTTGGGTATTGAACTTGGCTTAGGCTTGGAAGCAAGCACAGTTACTGCTGAGCTATCTCTTCTGCCCTTATAATGCTTTTATTGTAAGTTCTAACATTAATATTCTAGTTTAGGTAAATCACCTTCCCCCATGTCTGTCAACAGCACTTTAAGCAGGGCAATCTCTCAGTGACTTCTTGAAACCCTGGCCATAAGCACTTAACTGGGAACGCCTGCCACCTTCTGCCAGACTTGATCATGTACATATGTATCTATTTTTATAACTCCAAGCTCAGAGAGGAATAAATGCTATCATTATTTAATTACTCTAGTTAAGGCTTTAATACTTTAATTATTTGATTATAAACAATGAGAAAAGCAAACTACTTAGTCATGTTTATCACCATGATTATATGTACACAGATGCATCAAAACTTTACTTTGTAAAGAGTTAACCTGGCTTGGAGGTCAGTGTTGATATCTATATTATTAAGGACATAACTCTGAGAGAAGTAAATGTTTACTTAATCAAGATTCAGCACTGCTCATGTGTATAGACAGACCTCAAGTCTTCATCTGTCTGTTCTCTGATGTGGATAATGTGTGTTCTAATCTAAAGTGGGCTTGGGTCACGTGGAAGTTAGAAGCCAGACCTCTCTTGCTGTGGCAGCCAGTTTAGCTATCAGAGAGGAAGGGCCAGGGGGCCACATTCCTGGTCCTAATCTTGTCTTGACTATTTTCATTGGGGAGGGGGTGGTGAGTAGGGACTAAGTGGAGAGCAGTGGGGTTGGGGCTTTGTCAACTTGCAGCCTTTTATGGATGTTATTTTAGTCCTTTGTGGAAAAGGGGACCCTTGAAGCCAATGGATGCTTCACCACTGCTCTCGTTCTCTCTGCTTTTACTCATCAGTGTGAAAGTAAAAAGGGATGTGGGGGAGAGATGTTTCACCAGGTGAAAAAGCCCTTGCTGCTCTTCAGAGGACCTGAGTTCGATTCCTAGCACCCACATAGAACATCTCAAACTGCCTGTAAATACAAGCTCCAGGGATTATTTGACACCCTTTTCTGGACTCTGCAGGAACACACACACACACACACACACACACACACACACACACACACACACACACACACACAAAATCTAAGGCTGCCAGACTTCATTAGCTCACATTAGTTTCTCAATGGGATGTTCCTACCCACAAAGGAGATCAGTTTCAGTCAGAATTCAAGTAGAGGCATTGTCACAAGGTAGATCCAGTGCAGTCTGCAGACCTCTGGGGGAATATTTGAGACCTGTAAAGCACACTGGGACTCGGTGGTGACTGACTTGCAGGGTGTGTGTGTGTGTGTGTGTGTGTGTGTGTGTGTGTGTGTGTGTACTTCTTTCCTT